AAGCAATTTGGATGAGATGAAACAAGAACATTTCCCATCTGAGGTAATGTGGTATTAAAATTCACCAGCCCTAATCAAAATTGTGGACAGTATTGAACTACATGCCAGCCTGTGTGGAGAACAAAATCTATGTGAGTAACACAAACTTTAGGAAACAGTTCTTGGAAACAAATATGTTATAAATCAACCCCAAGTGCTTTAATGCCACATGTGCCACAGTAAAATAAAAACTCTATTCTCTCCACATTACAGTGGAGTCTCCAGATCACAGTTCTTTTATGCACACTAGGCGCGTTTCCATTACAGATTTGCGCAAAACTTTGGCGATAGTTTATAAATGTCTTATTCCTCCAGAATCAGAATGTTACACTGGATCCCAAATCAAATCTACCTCTGCATCTGGAAAGACAATGCTGTATGTAGTTCCTCTACAAGAGGAACTGGACCTTAATCCTCTCCCTAATGATGCCAGAGAATTAAAAAAAAATAATACCAAAAGCTACTTGCCAAATGTGCAACAAAAGCATGCCCCTGCAAGTGCTGGCTCTCCACATTCAGGGTTGCAAGTCAAATGATTCAACATCTTCAAATGAAGAGGTAATGGATTAATGCTGTCTAATTATTTACTGATTTCATGATGTTTGGGTGCATGTGTTCTGACTAAATGTTTAATTTTTATTAATGTAACATTCCATGTTGATTTTATAATAGATTTATTACTGTGTACAGACCTTCAAAAGGATAAATGATTTCAGTGTATGTTTATGTCCGCAGATTGCTAATCATATACTTGTGATGAAGTATAACAAAGGTACACTCTAAAAAATGCTGGGTTGTTTCAACCCAACTTTGGGTCAAATATGGACTAACCCAACCGTTGGGTTAAATTTTTACATTGCATTTTTAACCCAAAAGTTGGGTTAGTCCTTATACAACCCAGCATTTTTTAGAGTGTATGACACCGTTTTAATTTCTTTGTTTTTGGAGCAGACAGAAGTTCAGTTCGTCTCAGAAAGCAATTTGGATGAGATGAAACAAGAACATTTCCCATCTGAGGTAATGTGGTATTAAAATTCACCAGCCCTAATCAAAATTGTGGACAGTATTGAACTACATGCCAGCCTGTGTGGAGAACAAAATCTATGTGAGTAACACAAACTTTAGGAAACAGTTCTTGGAAACAAATATGTTATAAATCAACCCCAAGTGCTTTAATGCCACATGTGCCACAGTAAAATAAAAACTCTATTCTCTCCACATTACAGTGGAGTCTCCAGATCACAGTTCTTTTATGCACACTAGGCGCGTTTCCATTACAGATTTGCGCAAAACTTTGGCGATAGTTTATAAATGTCGATAAAGTATTGCGAAATGACGGCGTTTCCATTAATCAATGTTATGCGACTAAAACGTAACCTTTTGCCTCTCGCGATAAGTCATGGCAACGGAGGCTTAATGTGTGTATCTTTACAGAAGCAGCAAAGAGAGCCACTTCAGAAACATTTATTAGTTTAATAAATTAAACCATAGACTGTTGTAGCGTCTCGACCAATCTGACACACTAATTTTTATTTGATTTAACAAATCAATTATTCATTAGATTAACAAATCGTCACAGTCCCCTCACTCAATATACTGGAGGCCAGGATTTCGGCAGATTTATATCGATAATATAATATTAATAAATCATAATAAGTTATGGTTAATTATTCTTATTATCTGTCGTGAGCTAAATTCGCTAAAGATTTTGGTGGAGAATGCGGGCATGATAAAACGAAAGTTATGAGTTTAAACACTGGCAACTTAAAAGTGTGTGCTTGATAGCCCAGGTTAAAATAGGACGTGACTTCAGATGCCCTGTGGTGTCCCTATTTGCTGGCTTGTTGAGATGCAGATAAAGTGGGGGTTTGAATTGGTACCGCTAAGTACTCATGTGTGAGGCAAACATAACTACATATATGTTTAAACCGGTTTTAACTTACAGTAAACACGTTTTGTAATTCTTTAAACAAGTGCAAGAAGTTTATTGTTGCATTAGAGAAGCACTCGCCGAAGTGCTTAGGTAATGCAACAAGTCTTGAAGGCTGAAAGCACAACGTTCTAAAACTATGACTGTTTAACATAGACAGACATTAAACTGCGTTAATTACACTGGCATGCATTGGTTACCGTGACAACAACTTGTCACAGGAAGTGCTAACGTCACATAGCACAACACGCCATGTTTGTAAACAAACCATTTGAAGCAGCTAAGCTAACACGACTTAGCATAGTTTCATTTTAGGCTAAGCTACTCAAATAGCTTTAACAATTAGGGGTTAACACTCTTTAATTGAAGCTCTTAAATACAGCATGCGTGTGTGCAGTGGGAAGCAATTTGAATTTAACCTAATCCCTGGTTTCTGATTTTTCCATTTCTCTTCCTTCTTTTTCTTCTTTTTCTATGTTTCTCAATCTTCAATTCGTCTCAGCGAATTTAACTACCTAGATGTATCCTTCCTGAATGCTATTGCTTAGTTACTAGTTAATTAAATCTAAATTTAATTAAATCTTAACTGTCTATCGAGGAAAGACTCATTGAGGTATTGGGTGCTTTTAGTAACACACTAATCACTAGTGCTGCTATTTGTTCCTGATACCGGAATGATTACCTTGTTTTGTTAATAGCAGTCAGCTAATTTTAAATCCATTTACATGGTATACCCCCTTTTGTTCCACTTTGTTTTGATGTTCTTTCTGAACCTCAAAAGGAACCAGAGACATTTCTATTTTTGATTTGTTTATTTTCAAACATGTGCCCTAATTTTAAAACCCGGTTACAAAGTCATCTAGACAAACACTAGGGCATAACTATCATCCTACCAAATAATAGGCATAATCTGAATAGAAATGCTCTCCTTTTCCTTCTGCTTTTCCCTTTTCTCCTTCACTTCCTCAGAGATTGAGCCTGTTTGGGGAACCGTCAGTAAATTCTGAGTGATAATTTGACAATAAGAGTAGTCTTAAGTCATCAATCAAAACCCTGTTTACGCCCTTTTCAGCAAACATATGCTGACCCAAACCTATCTTAGCATTCACACTCTGTTTTGATCTTGTAGTAGTCTCTAGCCCTTACTCTCAACACAAGTTTGCCAAAATGTTGCACATGCTCAGACTAACTGCCCAGAATGCAGACCAAAGAGGACTGGCCAGGCGTTGTGAGGAACACCCCCTACCCAGGGCCAACGACCACCTACTGAGCCGAAAGCAACTGGACACAGAGAAAAGAGTACCTCAGACTCAGGGCTCAAGCGAGAGTTATGACTACAAAAAGCTCACCAAGGTCATCATCTTCCTGGCCCACAACCTCATGGGATTGAAACAGGAGGTAAATGATCTCAAGCAACAGATCACGGCGGTATCCCACAAGGACCCCAGCAGAATGGAGTTACAGGAGGAAATTGATAGACTTCAAGAGACTCTGATCCAGCAGCTGAACAACACTCAAGACAAGCTTGACATGTTCCGAAGAGAACTCAGGGACTCCTATAGGCTGCGAAAGGAAACGCAGTGGGAGAGACACCCTACTCCTGCATCCTCACTCAGCAGTGCAAACTCCCTCATATGCACCAAGCTACGAAGGGGGGAGCCAACACTTTCTGCTTAACAACTCAGCAGACAGAACCATAATACCTCAAGCAACCACAGGGAAGCATCCCTGCAGCAGCGCATGATGCGACCCCCAGAGACCTTGACAAGCTAGCCAGAAAACTCCCAGCATTCACATGGCCAGGAAAATAATAGTTCCTACTTTATGCAGGACGAGCAGTAATTTAGAACGGTGGCGTCGTTTTAAACATTGCTTGCAAGCAGACCCAATAATCAATCTTATGTGTCTGTTTCATAAGTTTTAGTAACTTCTTCTCCATGCGCATACCAGTTCCTGATCAAAACCAGATAAAATTATAGTTTGAATGCACCTTCCTACAAGCAGTAAGAAGTTTTCTGTGCTATAATGTGTTTAAATCGTACGATAAGAAACTAACCTGATTTTAGCGAAGAAATCCTAATTTCTGTGTTAGTGGAGCATAAGTCTTTTTCCTGACGACGAAATCTCAGATTAGCAGCTCATATAAATGGTACCAGAATAAATCGGTCTGATTTTGGGCGAAGAAATCCCCTTCTTCAGTACTGTGTAGGTGATCTGAGCGATGCTCCTCATTTCACTGATTTAAGGCCTTATTATGTGTTATGTATCATTGTATTCATATCGACCCGCTCATGTGAAACATTTACGTAACGCGTATACATGCGCGCACCAATTTCTGATCAAAATCAGATAAAACTATAGCTTGAATGTGCCTTCCTACAGGTAGTAGAAAGTTTCAGTGCTATAATGTGTTTAAATCGTACGATAAGAAACTAACCTGATTTTAGCGAAGAAATCCTAATTTCTGTTGTTAGTAGAGGGTACGGCTTTTCTGATGGGTAAACCTCAGATTAGCAGCCCATATAAATGGTACCAAGGCTAAGCTACCAAATAGCTTTAACAATTAGGGGTTAACACTCTTTAATTGAAGCTTTTAAATACAGCATGTGTGTATGCAGTGTGAAGTAATTTGAATTTAACCTAATCCCTGGTTCCTGATTTTTCCATTTTTCTTCTTTTTCTATGTTTCTCAATCTTCAATTCGTCTCAGCGAATTTAACTATCTTAGATGTATCCTTCCTGAATGCTATTGCTTAGTTACTAGTTAATTAAATCTAAATTTTTAACTGTCTTAACTGTCTATCGAGGAAAGACTCATTGAGGTATTGGGTGCTTTTAGTAACACACTAATCGCTATTTGTTCTATTTGTTCCTAATACCAGATTGATTACCTTGTTTTAATAATAGCAGTCAGCTAATTTTAAATCCATTTACATGTTATGCCCCCTTTGTTTTGATGTTCTCTCTGAACCTCAAAAGGAACCAGAGACACTCCTATTTTTGATTTGTTTATTTTCAAACATGTGCCCTAATTTTTATGACCCTGTTACACAAGTCATCTAGACAAACACTAGGGCATAACTATCGTCCTGAGCACCAAATAATAAGCATAATCTGAATAGAAATGCTCTCCTTTTCCTTCTGCTTTTCCCTTTTCTCCTTCATACCTCAGAGATTAAGCCTGTTTGGGGAACCGTCAGCAAATTCTGAGTGATAATTTGACAATAATTTGACAGTAGTCTTAAGTCATCAATCAAAACCCTGTTTATGCTCTTTTCAGCAAAACATATGCTGACCCAAAACTATTTTAGCAGTCACACTCTGTTTTGATCTTGTAGTAGTCTCTAGCCCTTACGCTCAACACAAGTGTGCCAAAATGTTGCAGATGCTCAGACTAACTGCCCAGAATGCAGACCGAAGAGGGCTGGGCAGGCGTTGTGAGGAACACCCCCTTACCCAGGGCCGACGACCACCTACTGAGCCGAAAGCAACTGGACACAGAGAGAAGTGTGCCTCAGACTCAGGACTCGGGCGAGAGTTGTGGCTACAAAAAGCTCGCCAAGGTCATCATCTTCCTGGCCCACAACCTCATGGGTCTGAAACAGGAGGTAAATGATCTCAAGCAACAGATCACAGCGGTAGCCCACAAGGAGCCCAGCAAAATGGAGTTACAGGAGGAAATCAATAGATTTAAAAAGGCTCTGACAGCTGCTGAACAGCAAGAGCACCTGGAAAAGGTAGCCAGAAATGACCTGGAAAGGAAACACCCACACAAAATTACTATTAAAGCAGCAAATTCTGAGCTCTTAGACAAAGTCGCCAGAACTGAGACTCTGATCCAGCAGCTGAACAACACTCAAGACAAGCTTGACATGTTCCGAAGAGAACTCAGGGACTCCTATAGGCTGCGAAAGGAAACGCAGTGGGAGAGACACCCTACTCCTGCATCCTCACTCAGCAGTGCAAACTCCCCCAGGTGCACCAAGCTACGAAGGGGGGAGCCAACACTTTCTGCTTAACAACTCAGCAGACAGAACCATAATACCTCAAGCAACCACAGGGAAGCATCCCTGCAGCAGCGACATAAGTGAACACCTGACGAGCATCATCCTCTCCTCTGCCCACACCCTCAAGGGCCTCAGACAGGAGGTAAATGAGCTGAAACTGCAAGTCACAGAATTCTGCAGAGAACTGACACCTGCTCAACGAGAGAAAGCACAGAACGGATGCAAAGAACCTCACAGAATGGTGCGACAGAAGGAAATCACCAGTCTTCAGGAGGCTCTAACAGCTGCTGGACACCAAGCGCCGCTGGAAAAAGCCATCAGACAGGACTTGAAAAGAGAACTGTTTCACACCAAGTCACTGTTAAAAACAACATATGTGGAACTAAATGAGAGAGACACCAGATCTAAGGCCTTACAAGGCCAGCTGCATGCAGCCAGAGCTGAGGTCCAAACCCTGACTCAGCAATTAAAGAGGAGCTTGACATGGTTCAGAAAGAATTTAAACAGTCCTACCGACTGCGCATAGACTTAAGCAAAAGACAGCCGGCTGAACATCACGTCGCCAGCAGTGCAAGCCCTCCACGCCTGTGCACAGCTACGAAAGGGGGGAAAGGGAGCCAAAGCCTTCTGCTTGACACTTCACAAGTCAGCTCCCTGAAAACCTCTGCAGCTGCAGAAAAAAAAAAAAAATTCAGGTGAACCGAAACAACGCAGCCAGCCTGCAAGCAGCCCGAGGTGAATTCAATGTCACAAATGAACTGGAATATGCTTGCAGACCACAAGGTGAACAGACAGGGAAAACACGAAACAGAACTTCCCCTGGCCAGCAGGCCCACCACCTCAGCCAAGAGTCCGAACCTGCGAGGGGGGGGGCGAGAGCCACTGTTCACACGTCACCAACCAGCAGCCACAAGGGGGTGGGGCAGGGACCTTTCCAGAGGATCACTGCAGACACACACACTGTGTGACCCCACAGACCCCAACGAGCTGGCCAGAGACAATACATCTGGCAACCTAAATACTGCAGAGACCTTGAGGACATCAAAGGAACTGATCCTGCAGTCTCACCAGCAGTTTAAACAAGCCATCATAAAGGAATTCTCAGACCCAGAGTCTGAACAGGGACTGATCGCTGCTGATTCTGAACTTCACAACTCAGAATCCAAAGCGGGCACCAGAAGGCACCCAGCATTGCCACAATGCAAAACCCTTCTACAGAAAGCCCCTAGCCAGAAGAGGACAGAGCCATCACCATGGCAACAGACCCAGGTTCCAGACCAACCACTGGGAAAAGGCGTCCTCATCCTGCAAACACCACGGTATGTCCAACAGCAGTCCACCACAACATCCTCCTCCACACCCTTCACACAGGTGCTGAACGGAGGCTACACAAGGACAGCTGGACACGCCTACTTCTGGGTTACAGGAGCTGCTGACACTCGCAAAAGAGCTCCTTGAACAAAACTCAACTAAGGAGTACTGAGAAGGACAAACCTCTGACTCCTTGCCTGCTGCAACACAGCATCAGGCCCCTCCAAGGGAGGAGCATCCCTTGAAACCGGTCGACACCCCCAGAAGCAGCCAGACAACGTTGGATTGAGCAACGGGCCCACATGCCCAACAGCGAAAGCTCTACCAACACAACTCAGGCAAGCTCAAGTCGGTGCCGCCACAAGAGCCAAGCGACACCGCAAACATCGGATTTCTAGTGACGTTGAGCAAAGCAGAGAGCTCACAACCACCTGCCGCTTTCCTGCCATCATCACTAGGTCAGTCGGAAATTCTCTACACACTATAGAATCTCCATAACAGTTCCCGGCAATCCCTGGAACCACCTGCACTCTCGCCAGTGAGAGTCTAACCCAGCTGTCCCACATCACGGGTACCACAGATAGCCTACTGGCTAACAACATCAACAAAAAAACATCCTACCCGGACTAACTCACTTCAAGATGACAGGTGACACAGCCTCGACACCTGCTGCATAAGCTCGAGGACCCACACCTTGCTACAGCCTACATCACCACAGCACACCACCTGACAGCATCCACCACGGCACCACAACCACTCCTGGAGGCACCAACAGCCAGAGAGCCACCACTGGCTCCCAGCCGTGAGTGACAGGTGTGTGTTAGATTGTTCTGCACCTTTGACGTCGCTCGCTGTTGTCTATTCTACGGACAACAACGCTCGAAAGGGGGGGATATATGTAGCGTCTCGACCAATCTGACACACTAATTTTTATTTGATTTAACAAATCAATTATTCATTAGATTAACAAATCGTCACAGTCCCCTCACTCAATAAACTGGATGCCAGGATTTCTGCAGAACACCAGGCCCCCTGGTCACCATGACAACTAATCATGATATCACTGGTTTTATGACCCCCCCCAGGAATGTGAGTAGAATAACCCACTCATTGTCCCCATAGGAAAGGCAGAGTAGAAATGGACTTTTCTACTAATTAATTCATAGGAAAACCTTTCTTTGAATGAACACACATCATCCTTCAGGTCATTGGGTATATTATTGTCATCGTGTATTTGGTCTTTGAAATTGTATACTGTTATGCAGACTTATAATCGAAACACCCTCCTGTCAGCTTACATATATATATCTCTACCATGTTTAGTATCTATGAATTTGCCTTCTGATGATCGAAACGAGCGTGTATATTATATGTTGGTACATAGGCAATATATTAGTGTCCTGAGAATCTTTAGTAATTTCGATTCAAGTTCCATTTGCAAATTACCATGCCCTCACACAAAGGGTCATAAAAACTCCCCAGTATCTCAAAACTCCCACTTGGGATACCGGCCTTTCTCATTGGACAAGCCCATCTTGAGAGGCGGGGATCTTCTCCGACCTTAAAGGCCCACACCAGGGACCCTCCCCAGTCGGTGGTTCTGTTAGGTTTCGATAAGATGTGAGTTCCAATGCTCCAGGACATCCTAAGTTTTTGTGCCAGGCCTTCAGCCTCGACTTTTCCACTCATCAAGATTCTCTGACTCAAAACTGGTTCTTTTCATCGACCCAAATTCAGCAAAGATCAACTGGAAACTTCAGATTACATCAAACCTCTCTTTCAGACAGATGAGACGTGCAAGTATTCAAACTTAGTCTTATTAATTGATACATTAGGTATCATTTTCACCTTTTTACAAAGGTGTGTTTGAACTAAGAATCTGATGTTTCCTTCAGGCTGTAAATCTGCTGAATATGCAAATGGTTCTATAACTTCATATTCCTTATTTCTCTTCTCTTTACTGCGTTAAGCTTTTAACCCTTTCCTATACCAACTGTATGTGTGTGTGTGTGTGTGTGTTTATGTGTATGTTAGACCAGTTTAAGTGTTTATGTGTATGTTAGACTAGTTTAAGTGTTTATGTAGTTAATAAAGTCTTACTTGTATCACACTTGACGTTGTTCATTGTTTGCTCATAACTGGAGTCACTTAATCATGCAGATTTATGCTACAAGCTTTTGTAGAATTGTACAGTAAGAAAGTTATTTCCCTTAACCAGGAAATTAACGTTCTTAGAATTGACAAGACAGTTGACCCTGAGAGGTCAAGTAAATATCTACAGCGGATCTAAATATTTGTAATTAATTATAACTAGTTATGATTAATTATTCATATTTCCTCATGAGCTGATTCGTTACATGATTGGTGGAGAGAATGCGGGCATGATAAAACGAAAGTTATGAGTTTAAACACTGTCAACTTAAAAGTGTGTGCGTGGTAGTCCAGGTTAAAATAGGGCGTGACTTGAGATACGCTGTTGTGTCCCTATTTGCTGGCTTGTTTAGATGCAGATAAAGTGGGGGTTTGAATTGGTACCGCTATTATGATTGGAAGAGTCTTTATGTATTTCATGCTTAATGGTATCAGTGTAAGGTTAATCTGATTTTAGCAAAGAAACCCTAATTTCAGTATTAAAGCATAAATCTGTTCTGACAAAGCATAAGTCTGAATCTCAGCTCAGCGGCATGTCCAAACTGTACCATAATGTATAATGCTTTAGTGAAGAAATCACAAAATTGCAGTATTGTTTAAATTGTTTCTGAAATCTCAGTACAGTTATATCAAGGTAGATTTGAGTGTTGCTCCTCTTTCTACAGCATAAAGGCCTTATAGTTTATAATTAGATTGAAGCAATTCATCTACACTTTGACTGTATATATACAAGCCTAGCAATCTGGTGGTCATTACTGTGTTTCACTCGCTGAGTGAAATTAAAGGTGTAATACTGTACTTTAGTATTCATGTGTGAGGCACACATAGCTACATATATGTTTAAACCGGCTGTAACTTACAGTAAACCTGTTTTTTTTTATTCTTTAAACAAGTGCAAGAAGTTTATTGTTAAATTAGAGAAGCACTCACAGAAGTGCTTATTTAATGCAACAAGTCTTGAAGGACTGAAAGCACCACGTTTTAAAACTGTGGGCAACTTCTTTGAAATAGGCAGACACTAAACTGTTTGAATTGCACTGGCATGCATTGGTTACCATGACAATGACTTGTCACAGGAAGCGCTAACTTCACATAGCACAACACGCCATGTTGTAAACAAACCACCTGCAGCAGCTAAGCTAACATGACTTAGCATAGTTTCATCTTAGGCTAAGCTACCAAATAGCTTTAACAATTAGGGGTTAGCACCCCTTTACTTGAAGCTTTTAAATACAGCATGTGTTATGCAGTGTGAAGTAATTTGAATTTAACCTAATCCCTGGTTCCTGATTTTTCCCTTTTTCTTCTTTTTCTATGTTTCTCAATCTTCAATTCGTCTCAGCGAATTTAACTATCTTAGATGTATCCTTCCTGAATGCTATTGCTCAGTTACTAGTTAATTAAATGTAAATTTAATTACATTTTAACTGTCTATCTAGAGAAGAATCATTAAGTTATTGGGTGCTTTTAGTAACACAAATCAGTTAATCACCAGTGCTACTATTTGTTCCTAATACCAGATTGATTACCCTGTTTTAATAATAGCAGTCAGCTAATTTTAAATCCATTTACATGTTATGCCCCCTTTTGTTCCACTTTGATTTGATGATCTCTCTGAACCTCAAAATGAACCAGAGACACTTTTATTTTTGATTTGTTTATTTTCAACATGTGTTCTAATTTTATGACCCTGTTACACAAGTCATCTAGACAAATACTAGGGCATAACTATCATCCTGAGCACCAAGCAATAAGCACAATCTGAATAGGAATGCTCTCCATCTTCCTTTTCCCTCTTCTACTTCACTTCCTCGGAGATTGAGCCTGTTGTGAACCATCAGTGAGTTCTGAGTGATAATTTGACAATAAGAGCAGTCTTAAGTCATCAATCAAAACTCTGTTTACGCCCTTTTCAGCAAACATATGCTGACCCAAAAATAACCTAATACTTCAGCTAAGCACACCTGGCAAAACCTAGCTGTAAAACCTAGCTCCACACTCTGTTTGATCTTGTATTAGTCTCTAGCCCTTACTCTCAACACAAGTTTGCCAAAATGTTGCAGATGCTCAGACTAACTGCCCAGAATGCAGACCAAAGAGGACTGGCCAGGCGTTGTGAGGAACACGCTTCTACCCAGGGCTGACGACCACCTACTGCACCCGAGCCAAAAGCAATTGGACACTGAGGGAAGAGTACTACTGACTCATGACTCAAGCGAGAGTTATGGCTACAAAAAGCTCACCAAGGTCATCATCTTCCTGGCCCACAACCTCATGGGATTGAAACAGGAGGTAAATGATCTCAAGCAACAGATCACGGCGGTATCCCACAAGGACCCCAGCAGAATGGAGTTACAGGAGGAAATCAATAGACTTCAAAAGGCTCTGACAGCTGCTGAACAGCAAGAGCACCTGGAAAAGTTAGCCAGAAAGGACCTGGAAGGGAAACTTTCCCACACAAAATTACTATTAAAGCAGCAAATTCTGAGCTCTTAGACAAAGTTGCCAGAACTGAGACTCTGATCCAGCAGCTGAACAACACTCAAGACAAGCTTGACATGTTCCGAAGAGAACTCAGGGACTCCTATAGGCTGCGAAAGGAAACGCAGTGGGAGAGACACCCTACTCCTGCATCCTCACTCAGCAGTGCAAACTCCCTCAGGTGCACCAAGCTACGAAGGGGGGAGCCAACACTTTCTGCTTAACAACTCAGCAGACAGAACCATAATACCTCAAGCAACCACAGGGAAGCATCCCTGCAGCAGCGCATGATGCGACCCCCAGAGACCTTGACAAGCTAGCCAGAAAACTCCCAGCATTCACATGGCCAGGAAAATAATAGTTCCTACTTTATGCAGGACGAGCAGTAATTTAGAACGGTGGCGTCGTTTTAAACATTGCTTGCAAGCAGACCCAATAATCAATCTTATGTGTCTGTTTCATAAGTTTTAGTAACTTCTTCTCCATGCGCATACCAGTTCCTGATCAAAACCAGATAAAATTATAGTTTGAATGCACCTTCCTACAAGCAGTAAGAAGTTTTCAGTGCTATAATGTGTTTAAATCGTACGATAAGAAACTAACCTGATTTTAGCGAAGAAATCCTAATTTCTGTTGTTAGTGGAGCATAGGTCTTTTCTGACGACGTAATCTCAGATTAGCAGCTCATATAAATGGTACCAGAATAAATCGGTCTGATCTTGGGCGAAGAAATCCCCTTTTTCAGCACTGTGTAGGTGATCTGAGCGATGCTCCTCATTTCACTGATTTAAGGCCTTATTATGTGTTATATAGCTTGAATGTGCCTTCCTACAAGCAGTAAGAAGTTTTCAGTGCTATAATGTGTTTAAATCGTACGATAAGAAACTAACCTGATTTTAGCGAAGAAATCCTAATTTCTGTTGTTAGTAGAGGGTACGGCTTTTCTGATGGGTAAACCTCAGATTAGCAGCCCATATAAATGGTACCAGAATAAATCGGTCTGATCTTGGGCGAAGAAATCCCCTTTTTCAGCACTGTGTAGGTGATCCTCCTCATTTCCCTCATTTCATTAATTTAAGGCCTTATTATGTGTTACGTATCATCGTATTTCATTTTGACTGAAACATTTAAAACATTTACGTAAAATTAATGGTGTTATTCTAGCGTAGCTAACTACGAATCCACCATTGCCTGTGAAGTGAATGTGCTGTTTTGATTAATGAATGAATTTGTATGGGACATGTCATAACTGACTGTTATGCCCCGCATGAGTTTCCCATGCATGTTCACAGCAGTGCAAGTTCTGCTCCCCTTGCACCTGGTGTGAGTTTGCATTGGTCTCCTAGCAACACGTGACCCCGGAAGTGTGAGCAGACTCTTCCGGTTAATCTGACAACAGCACCCACTTCACAGACCTGTGTGTAAACAAAGAACTGCGTGTAACTAACGCTAACTCTTAAGCTAAGCCCTTTACCTCAACTGCTAGCTGTTAGCATCCGACTAACACTTAGATAGGTGTGTAAAGTGTAACTTTCTAACCACTTCTCTCTCTCTCTCTCTCTCTCTCTATCCCCGTCACTCCTGGTGTCACTTCCTGTTGATGCCATCAACTCCTCTTTGGATTCAGTTCGTGTGGTCCCCACCCACATACTGGGTTTTACTTGTGTTATTGTTTATTTTTGTTTTGACTTTATTCTACCTCTTTTTAATTTTATTGCATTTATTTACATTTGTTTAGCACAAATGTACCAATTCAGCTAAATTGATTTGTATTAAATTTGAGATTTAATTAAATCAAATTTTTATTTATTTTTATTTTATTCCATTTTTATTTTTATTTTTATTTTGTTTATTTACTTTCCCCTTTTAATTTCCTACAGCTCTTAGGACCCCTTTTTATTTTATTTATTTTTTTTGTTTGTTGTGTTTTACTTTTACCTTATTTTAGTATTTTCACCATCACCATCGTCGCTTTTGGATAGGATTACAGTAGTTCTAGCAACTGTCGTTTCCTTAACGAGTTATACAGGTTATTAGTAGCATAATCCCTGTTTCCTCTCTACTTCTCCTCACGCCTCAGTGCCAGGCCTACATTGAAGGGCAGCTACTGTTCAACACAATGTAAGCCAAGATAGAACTAGGAACAATAAAATCTTCCTTTTCTTTTTTGATTTTATCTTATTTTATTTCAGTTTCGTCATAGTGACCAAACCCGTGAACCATCAGTAGTATAGCCCGGTCATCAGCTGACCCCTGCTTACGGCCCCTCAACAAAGTTACTCAAACTCTTCCTTTGTGTTCACGAACACAAAAACATAGCACCCTACCTCACTAGCTGCCTCCCACCAGCTGGTCATACCTTACACGGCCCACACAGCCGTTCCCCTTAGAGATAGTTTAACACCTCTGTACGTACCTGCATTTGCCTTGTGTCTCTCTCTCTCTGGTGTTCCCACAAGTGTGCCAGTATGTCGCAGACATTCCACAGACATCCAGCCCTGGCAGCTCACCAGGACCACCTGGACACTCAGTAGAGCACTGTAATGGACATCCTTCAGCTCAAAGCAGCCAACGACCTGCCATGGCAAAGAAAGGAACAGCGAGACTGCGACATAAGCGAACACCTGACCAGCATCATCCTCATCATCCTTTTTATGAGCTGAAACTGCAAGTCACAGAATTCTGAAGAGAACTGACACCTGCTCAACGAGAGAAAGCACAGAACGGATGCAAAGAACCTCACAGAATGGTGCGACAGAAGGAAATCACCAGTCTTCACAGAGGCTCTAACAGCTGCTAAACACCAGGCGCCGCTGGAAAAAGCCATCACACAGGACTTGAAAACAGAACTGTTTCACACAAAGTCACTCTTAAAACAACTTATGTGGAACTAAATGAGAGAGACACCACATCTAAGGCCTTACAAGGCCAGCTGCATTCAGCCAGAGCTGAGGTCCAAAACCCTGACTCAGCAATTAGAGAGGAGCTTGACTTGGTTCAGAAAGAATTTAAACAGTCCTACCGACTGCGCATAGACTTAAGCAAAAGACAGCCGGCTGAACATCGGTCGCCAGCAGTGCAAGCCCTCCACGCCTGTGCACAGCTACGAAAGGGGGGAAAGGGAGCCAAAGCCTTCTGCTTGACACTTCACAAGTCAGCTCCCTGAAAACCCTGAAAACCTCTGCAGCTGCAGAAGAAAGAAAAAAAAAAGTTTAATTCAGGCGAACCGAAACAACGCATGTGAATGCCACCTGCAAGCAGCCCGAGGTGAATTCAATGTCACAAATTAACTGGAATATGCTTGCAGACCACAAGGTGAACAGACAGGGAAAACACGAAACAGAACTTCCCCTGGCCAGCAGGCCCACCCCCTCAGCCAAGAGTCCGAACCTGCGAGGGGGGGGGCGAGAGCCACTGTTCACACGTCACCAACCAGCAGCCACAAGGGGGTGGGGCAGGGACCTTTCCAGAGGATCACTGCAGACACACACACCGTGTGACCCCACAGACCCCAACGAGCTGGCCAGAGACAACACATCTGGCAACCTAAATACTCTCAGACCCAGAGTCTGAACACGGACTGATCGCTGCCCCAGACACCAAGCAGGGCCGGCATGAAACTCCCCATGCTTACTACCACAGACTTTGACAAACTTACTCCAAAGCTCACGATTACCCTGGGATGGCAGAGGACACCAGCTGCAAGAAGTCATCTAGGCATTAGGGCCTGCCGCACAATGCCTAATCAACAGCTGCGTAACCTGACACAGAAGGCCTTTAACAAGCACAAGGCCTCCACTAAAGGTGTTTGTCAAACCCCACTGATTCTGAACTGCACAACTCAGAATCCAAAGCAGGCACCAGAAGGCACCCAGCATTGCTACAATGCAAAACCCTTCTACAGATAGCCCCTAGCCGGAAGAGGATAGAGCCATCACCATAACAACAAACCCAGGTTCCAGACCAACCACTGGGAAAAGCCATGGAAAAAGGCATCCTCATCCTGCAAACACCATGGTATGTCCAACAGCAGTCCACCAAAACATCCTCCTCCACACCCTTCACACAGGTGCTGAACGGAGGCTACACAAGGACAGCTGGACACGCCTACTTCTGGGTTACAGGAGCTGCTGACACTCGCAAAAGAGCTCCTTGAACAAAACTCAACTAAGGAGTACTGAGAAGGACAAACCTCTGACTCCTTGCCTGCTGCAACACAGCATCAGGCCCCTCCAAGGGAGGAGCATCCCTTGAAACCGGTCGACACCCCCAGAAGTAGCCAGACAACGTTGGATTGAGCAACGGGCCCACATGCCCAACAGCGAAAGCTCTACCAACACAACTCAGGCAAGCTCAAGTCGGTGCCGCCACAAGAGCCAAGCGACACCGCAAACATCGGATTTCTAGTGACGTTGAGCAAAGCAGAGAGCTCACAACCACCTGCCGCTTTCCTGCCATCATCACTAGGTCAGTCGGAAATTCTCTACACACTATAGAATCTCCATAACAGTTCCCGGCAATCCCTGGAACCACCTGCACTCTCACCAGTGAGAGTCTAACCCGGCTGTCCCACATCACGGGTACCACAGATAGCCTACTGGCTAACAACATCAACAAAAAAAACATCCTACCCGGACTAACTCACTTCAAGATGACAGGTGACACAGCCTCGACACCTGCTGCATAAGCTCGAGGACCCACACCTTGCTACAGCCTACATCACCACAGCGCACCACCTGACAGCATCCACCACGGCACCACAACCACTCCGGGAGCGACATAAGTGAACACCTGACGAGCATCATCCTCTCCTCTGCCCACACCCTCAAGGGCCTCAGACAGGAGGTAAATGAGCTGAAACTGCAAGTCACAGAATTCTGCAGAGAACTGACACCTGCTCAACGAGAGAAAGCACAGAACGGATGCAAAGAACCTCACAGAATGGTGCGACAGAAGGAAATCACCAGTCTTCAGGAGGCTCTAACAGCTGCTGGACACCAAGCGCCGCTGGAAAAAGCCATCAGACAGGACTTGAAAAGAGAACTGTTTCACACCAAGTCACTGTTAAAAACAACATATGTGGAACTAAATGAGAGAGACACCAGATCTAAGGCCTTACAAGGCCAGCTGCATGCAGCCAGAGCTGAGGTCCAAACCCTGACTCAGCAATTAAAGAGGAGCTTGACATGGTTCAGAAAGAATTTAAACAGTCCTACCGACTGCGCATAGACTCAAGCAAAAGACAGCCTGCTGAACATCACGTCGCCAGCAGTGCAAGCCCTCCACGCCTGTGCACAGCTACGAAAGGGGGGAAAGGGAGCCAAAGCCTTCTGCTTGACACTTCACAAGTCAGCTCCCTGAAAACCCTGAAAACCTCTGCAGCTGCTGAAGAAAAAAAAAAGGTTTAATTCAGGCGAACCGAAACAACGCATGTGAATGCCACCTGCAAGCAGCCCGAGGTGAATTCAGTGTCACAAATGAACTGAAATATGCTTGCAGACCACAAGGTGAACAGACAGGGAAAACACGAAACAGAACTTCCCCTGGCCAGCAGGCCCACCACCTCAGCCAAGAGTCCGAACCTGCGAGGGGGGGGGGCGAGAGCCACTGTTCACACGTCACCAACCAGCAGCCACAAGGGGGTGGGGCAGGGACCTTTCCAGAGGATCACTGCAGACACACACACTGTGTGACCCCACAGACCCCAACGAGCTGGCCAGAGACAATACATCTGGCAACCTAAATACTGCAGAGACCTTGAGGACATCAAAGGAACTGATCCTGCAGTCTCACCAGCAGTTTAAACAAGCCATCATAAAGGAATTCTCAGACCCAGAGTCTGAACATGGACTGATCGCTGCTGATTCTGAATTTCACAACTCAGAATCCAAAGCGGGCACTCCAGCATTGCCAGCATTGCCACAATGCAAAACCCTTCTACAGAAAGCCCCTAGCCAGAAGAGGACAGAGCGGCAACAGACGCAACAGACCCAGGTTCCAGACCAACCACTGGGAAAAGCCATGGAAAAAGGCATCCTCATCCTACAAACACCACGGTATGTCCAACAGCAGTCCACCACAACAGCCTCCTCCACACCCTTCACACAGGTGCCGAATGGAGGCTACACAAGGACAGCTGGACACGCCTACTTCTGGGTTACAGGAGCTGCTGACACTCGCAAAAGAGCTCCTTGAACAAAATTCAACTAAGGAGTACTGAGAAGGACAAACCTCTGACTCCTTGCCTGCTGCAACACAGCATCAGGCCCCTCCAAGGGAGGAGCATCCCTTGAAACCGGTCGACACCCCTAGAAGCAGCCAGACAACGTTGGATTGAGCAGCGGGCCCACATGCCCAACAGCGAAAGCTCTACCAACACGACTCAGGCAAGCTCAAGTCGGTGCCGCCACAAGAGCCAAGCGACACCGCAAACATCAGATTTCTAGTGACGTTTGAGCAAAACAGAGGGCTAACAACCACCTGCTGCCCTCCTGCCATCATCACTAGGATGACAGGTGACACAGCCTCGACACCTGCTGCATAAGCTCGAGGACCCACACCTTGCTACAGCCTACATCACCACAGCACACCACCAGACAGCATCCAACACGGCACCAACAGCCAAAAATCCATGCATGGTATTGCTTAGAAACACTAACATAAACTTGCTGTGCAATGTAGCTGTAAAATGTTCTTGTTATGCATAAAAAGTCAAACTGTTTAGAACTGATTGCACACGCATTGCATTTAATAACTAGTTTCTAATTCATGAAACATTTTCATTTAGTGCAAGGTTTATTTGTACT